ACGACCCTACTGCAACTTCAAGTTCCTTGCTGTCAGATTTGGCGACGTCACTATCACCAAGTTTCTTCTGGTTTCTGACCGCTCGTCTGTTTTTTTTTTTTTTGACTATCAGAAGATAGTCGTATATATAATTCCGTTTGAGTGTCTAGCTGTTTTACATTATTTCTTGTTCTTAGTTTTAATATTATGATTACAATATTAATAACTTGTGTACGTATATTAATATAGACATATATATTTGTTCATTTATTTTATTGAGACAGCTATTGACTACTAAGGTGTTTTAAAAAAAGACAACTGTTTACCTAGAAGCAGACCATATTGCGTGCTAATTAATGAGCTGCACTCATTCAATAAGAACACAATATGTTCTGTGTTTGAATTATAAGATCTATTTTTGATGTACAAATGTAGAAGAAGAAAATGTTTAACTGTTTTTTCTCTGTTTATCATTATAATACTTCTTGCCTAATAAAGTTTGAATCTTTATCATTCTTTAATCTTTATCCTTTTTCGTTCTTTTATTTTCTTCTTTTTTTTGTGAACACTTTTTATTGGTCATAAACAGTTTGATTAGGAACATTGAACGTCAATAAAAAAACCGGATTCATTTAATCAGTAAATTTAAAAATTTTGCTAGGCGTCGTTGTAGAATGCCAGAATTTGGAAGGCAAGGAACTTGACTGCAACGATTTGTGCTGTGTTTCAATCAGTAAGATAGAACCAACGAAAAAAAAAGGTTGTGCCAAAAATGCTTTAAAAAAATCTAGTTATATGACTGTGTTTCAGCATCGTTATTGATCTGCCTAAGTTAGTTTTCTTTTGTAATTTGCTAAAAAAGGCAAAAAACCAAAAAAAAAAAAGAAGGTAAAAAAAGGTTATTAGCTAATGTTTATTTGCGATTATTGTTGGGAGAATGTGCTTTTCCTGCAAAAATAATCATCGTTGATGAATGTAATTCGAATAAGTAGAACATTTGAAAATTGTTTTCTTTATTTGGTTGAATTTCTTTTCTATCAATATTTAAATAATGCAATACTCGTTGTTTACACAGAATTTTAATAACTTTATTATATTAACTTTTATTTTTTTTAATACATTCGCAGATAAAAGTACCTTTAAAACAGTGCTGAGTATCAGATGTTGAAAGCTTTGCTTCTTCACTTTTTTCTTTGAATAGAAATTCAAATTAAGATTTAAATATAAACAGGCTTCCATCCCATCTATTCTCCCATTCTTTTCTTTATTTCGCTGTAAAAATTAGCTTTTTTTTGTCTTCCTATCTTAGTGACTGTTAACAGAAAATTTCTAAAGAAATGAACTAAGACAACGATGAATTAGCAACACTTACGGCAGATAAGAATGAAAAATCATACCCACTTGCAGACTGCTGTGATTATCGTTTTATTTAGAACTGAGTTTAAAGATATACATTTTTTAATTTCTAATTTGTTGTTTAAGCGACTACAGAAAACTGCATTTTGCCTGGACAGGTGAAAGAAAAAAATAAACAGAATAAACAAACAGAAAAGCTTTAATTGAAAGGATAGGCAAAAACTATTAACTTAACAAATATATTATTTTGTTGCCGCATGATTATAAATCTTTCTTTTCTCTGTTCCCTGTTTATGTTCTTATTATAAATCAGAATTTTTAGTTCAATTCAATGTAAAGCTCTAAATATACACAAAGAAAGCAATAAAATCTTGGCTATAATTTATATTTTAAGTTGAGTGCATCAGTTACTGTCATTAACTTTCATGAAATTATAACTTTCAAAAGTTCGGGTAGATAAATATGAAATTTTTTAAATATTAAAACTAAATAATTTTCAATTGTAACGCAGTTATTCGCTACTATATATAGAACAGATTTTGAACAATTGTCTATTCTATAACAAAACCGAACCGAGAATAACGATTTCTTTCTTTTAACTTCTACATCATCCTCAACTGTACCAAAAGTTACATTACAGAAGCTTACTGCAACTAAGTAGAATTCACCAACTTTGAATGTTTATCCTTGAGTTTCAGCTGTTGAGGAGTACCAACTGTACTCCTCAACAGCTGAAACTCAAGGATAAACAGTCAAAGTTGGTGAATTCTACTTAGTTGCAGTAAGCTTCTGTAATGTAACTTTTGCGCTTTCAGACTGATGACACTGCGGTTAAGGACAAAGACTGACTAGATCAACCAAAAAAAATCAAGCATTAGACCCCACAGTCAGGAACTTTTTTGCAAGTTACTCCTAATTAAGATCCAGATAATAAATTTGGAACTGTTATAATTCTCTGAGCGTCTATGGTTTATGGGAAAAGAAAGCAGAAGAATGAAAAATCAGCTAAGTAGCTTTGCTATTTTTTGATTTCGAGTTAATTTTTCTTTTTAGGAAAACACAAAGAAAAGGTTTTTTTGGCGTAAAGAGAGAAGGTGAAATGATAAGCGAATTTATTAACATTATATAATGATCTCTAGGCTAAAAAATTTATATACTTCGTAAGCGACAGTTTCAAGAAAAACTAAACCATAACCTATCAAAAGCTGTGTTGAATAAACTCGGAAAATAGATTTTTTTGTGTGACAACATCTGTTCCGCTATTAAGGTTGCAATAATAAAGGACCTCAAGTCGGAGGTTCTCTGTTAGCTGACATACTTGTCTATGAGGCAGCAACTGGCTAGCGTCACTGAGGTGATTAAGATGTTTAGAGATGACCGTTGTTTTCAATGTTAAAATAACCATTTGAAGGTTGCCTTGTTCAGTGGAAGAAGTGGCATGAACCAGATTGATTTCTTAACTTCGGAGATATAACTTTTAATAGATCACTGAAACGTGACACAGCTGTTAAAGTCTATCGGCCTATGGTAGCTTTTTACTGCTGATATTAATCTTATGAATCAAGAGGCGGGGGGGAATGCTTAACATTGATAAAACTTGTCTATTACGTTTTAGATAGGGTAAAAACAAAAAAGGCTAGTTTCGTAACTGAAAATTTTTAGACAACCAAGAACTCAAAAATTTAATATATATTTGATAATAATTCTTTTTTTTTTGTTTAAACAGTACAGATAGAATATATTTAGTCAGTGATATACATCCTACTGGGTGATAAAGTTAAGAAAATTTTTAAAGTGTTTTTAGCCGACCGTAAATTACATTGTCTACAAAAAGTGACAGAAGTTATATGAATGCAGTTTTATCGATTTAGCAACTTGGTACTGTTTGGTTAAGAAAATATTACAGCTTGCATAATAGCGGTTCAGTAAGGAAAAAACTACTGCATAGTATCCATAACAGGCAATTCTGAAAGTTCTTGATCAAGGCAAACTTTAATTCGTCTTATTTTATTATATGTCACCTAAAAAATAAATAATATTTATTTTTTTTCCATATATGTGCAAGTTTTTTATAGTGTTTATTAAAAGTCAGATAATGCTGTTGAAAGAAAACCAATTATTATATCGAATTTTAGTACCAAATAAAAAAAAACAAAGGAAAAAAACAGGATTTTTTTGAGTATATTTGCAACTGTTTCAAGGTGCAGAAATACGGGGTTTATTATGCAACGGTACTTTATTAAATCAGTTACAATTACAAAGAAAAAAAAATAAAAATAAGACTGGAAAAAAAGGAACTGCATCTGAAATTAAGAACGTCTCTTATGGAGTAACAAAACAATACTGCTTTTTCTCTAGAAAAGCAAGACGGTTTCGGTGACATTCTTCACTGTTAACTGTGCAGCAACTAATTGGTTTCATGAAAAACGTCTTATTAAAAAGCCGGGGAAAGAGTAATCTACAGTGAAGCTGCTGCAAATGACGTTTAACGGCTTTGCAGACAATGTCTTCGATTCTCAGAATCAATTACTGGAAGCTCTTTCTGATCTTTGTTTTGCAGCTAACCAAAATTATTTGTCAGTTCATCACAAACCACTGGGAAAAACAAGTGGTGACTTAAACGGTGTCTACTTAAGAATGTCACGCCTCAAACTACGACGAGTGGTAGATATTTGATCCCTTTCTGTTTTTTTCTTTTTTTCATTTTGATCTTTTTACTGCAAAACAGAAGGACTATAAATAGAATGTAAAACAAATTTAACCTTCAATTATTTGTATAAAAGTGAAGGTAAAGAAAATATAAAAGAAAGTCTTTGAAAATCTGATGCGGAAGAACCTCTAACCAATAATTTTGCATTTTATGCATTTTTTTTTTTTTTTTTGCCAGTAATTTTCATATACTTTGTTTGGCTCAACATTTTTCCAGTAATATAATTTAAATAAAAGGAAAATATCCAG